GATTTTGTTACTAAAACAGCACTCTAAATGTGTATCGCTTATAATGTAGACTCCCTACCTAAAGTCTTGAGATTTGAAAGCTCAAGAATAAAACAGATTTTTTTTTCTCTTTAAGTTTTTCTCGCTCTCTCGTAGCCTGAATGAGCCGCAGACACGTCTCAAAACTTCATAGCAAAAGTTTCCTACTTTTGTGTGTCTTCTGACTTCACTGGAGCTAAACATAGCAAAGTTCAGTTCTCCTTCCTTCATTTGCTATGTCTACACCGAAGAGTGGTGGTGTTACAAATTAGGTATGATGCGTTTACCAATCAAGAAAGGTCAGATTTTTGAGTCTCCGACCGCTCGTACAGCAGGTTGTCCAATTAAGTTGAACCAGTAATGTGGTCTATGGTCTAAAATGCGTTTAGCATCAGCACCTTGTTTGGGAACGAGCAAAGCCACAAACGCAACAACAACTTTATTGAGTTACTGGATTCAGTAAGTTTTAAATATTCAGCTTTGTTCTGAGAAACATTCATACAAACACTTATCACTTCTTCAGTGGGTGATTCCCATGCATTTCTTAGAAGAAGAGGCGTCCCCTTACACATTTGCTCAGATTTTAAGATTCTTCTTTTTTGTTTGTTTTTGAATATTATTTCACTTGAGCTGCAGTGACTTTACAACTGAGGTCACTGTTGAGGCTCATCCCTTTGCGATTGTAATGATGTCAATTCAACCATGAGGATGTTCCTAATTTCACTTGAGTTCGCTCTGGAAATGGCCGACATGAGCATTGTTTGAATTAACTGGTTGCACAAATCAGAGTTTCTCTTCCTGTCTGACTGAACTGGAGGTACAGAGATAATATTCCTCAATGGGAGTCTTTTTTTTCTATTTTAGACTGTTTCACACCAAACACAGCCATTGTAGTGCACAATCTACATAACATGAGCCCGTCTGATGTTCGATGAGCTTTGTAAAAGAAATTAGCACAATCATATTATCTTCCTGCGATTGGAAAGTGCATGCCTAATTCTGAGAACGGGGTGAATGCGTCATGTTGAGTGCTTGAGCTCTCCCGCAATATTTGCACTAAAAAGTGAAGCCCTTATTAAATTGACGAATCGTACAAGAGGTAGAGAGAGAGAAAATGTGGTCTTGCCATTCGAAGATGGAGGCCGTCTTTAAACTTTTCCGAAGCTCCTTCAGGTCTCAGAGCTCCCCTCTTAAGAGCCATATATGGATCCAAAAGTAGCAGATAGTTGGACCGTTCACTGAAACTGTGCATCCTCGTATTTTCTTTGTTTTAAAGGTGTAAAAAGTGCCCACACTCGTCTCTTAAGTGCAGTGCTCCTCCTTCATTTGTGCTGCCTTTTACTGGGGCTCTTATTTGATAGAAAAGTGGATGTTTTTTTTTTTGTTAGTTTTTTTGTATCTGTGCTTAAGTTACACGGGTTTGTCGCATAGTTTGAAATTGCTTGGAAGCCAATCATGACACTGTGCCAACCCACACATGATCTAACGTTGAAACCGAGTTAAAAAGTGCCTCAATGGTAGGTTTACAAAGACGGTATATGAATCTCCAGGCTTTACCCTCACAAGTGGAAGCAGTGATTATTATTTTTCCCCTCTTCTCTACATGCACCTGCCGAGCCGTCGCCTATCCGACCGATGGGGAATCCTCTGTGAGGCATATCGACAGGGAGCCACAATCCAAGACTGTGTCGATCGTTCTTTTCTCCACATTCTTTTCGGTTGCTTCCCTTTGTACGAGTAGATGAGACTAACCTTGAGATGCTCTCGTGATTGATTTAATTTGAATTGTTCTGGCTTCATTTCCATATCTGTTGAATATGGGTCCATGACAGCTAATCAGTTGTGGGTTTCTATGAGTAAATATGTATAGTTTAGTTTTTTTCCCTTGTAAGAAATAGAGTTGCTTCTTTTATCACAATGAAATGGTTTTGGTATGTCCAACGTCGGCCTCGTCAGAATCAAAGAAAAGCAGCTGAGAGCATATAATCCATCTTCTCATCACCCTCATGTGTCTTTTATCTAACTATTCCCCTCTGATCCACTTATTCCTCCAATTTAGTCTTTGGGACAGTTTTAATGGTCCACTTTCATCCTTCTTTTGTACATAATGTAAGGTTATTTATATGTCATTGTTGTCTGCTGCCTGGCTTGTTTGATTTCACTTGTTCCCTCAACCCTTTTTTTTTTTTTTTTTTTAAGGTATTAACTGAACTGTATCGGGACCATTGTTAGATGTTTTGGCCATTTTTAATTTGGTATAAATGTCTTAAGCAATTTTTTTTTATCATTATTTGATTTGCTCAAGTTTGTTTCTAGTGTTTTTGTTATTCATATATGTATATATATAATTATATATATGATAAAATTATATATAATTATATAATGCCAAATGGCCTTTTTAAGCAAGATACTGTTCAAACCTAATAAAGTGCTTGAAATTTTAACATTTGTTCTGAATTCATTGCCCAAAATATATGCATCCCTCTTAATGTGACAAATTGATTTGAGTTTGGCAAATTCACTTAAGGAATTAGACATTAATTTTTGTTATGAGATGTGATTTATCCAGACTACAAACGTAGGAAAGCAGGTGGGTTTTTTTGTTCAGCTGAATTATGTTTGCTATGTTGCATCAAAGGCAGACAGTTTTAGAAAAAGCATATAGTCTTATTTTACACTACCATTCTTTTGTTTATTGTAAATATGAGTAGATGCTTTTGTGTAGAAGAATTTGTGTTTTATTCCTAAGTAGAAATTTTGAAATTTTTTTTTGTTCTTGGTTTAGAAAAAAAGAGAAAAGTACGTGCCAACTTCAGAGTATAATTTCAGCTCTGAATCCCATCACCAGAACGTGGATCGTCATTAATACAAGTTTGAGCCACTAGAGGTCAGCGTTGTATAGGTTTCAAATAATCAAGTTTTTTTTCTTGAGAATAATGTTAATGTTAATGATAGTAGGTTTTCTTGTAAATGTGAATTGTTTATATTAGTAGAATTATATATGGAGTTCATCAGCCTGGGGGAAGAAACAGTCTCTGGTGGTTGGTTTTTATGTAGCCATCCACAGAGCCGACCTGAAAGTAAAAGTCCAATCGGGATGTGAACCTGTCTTTTTTCATGAATGAACCACTCCATAATAGTGGCCATGTAGAAGATAGCCAGAAGCTCTTTTTGAGTTGACGATATTGACATAACATGGTAGGTAAACAGTTTAAACTGCTTTATCTAATTATCCTTTGGAGGAAAATTATTGAAAGATGAGGAAGAGGGTTTGAGCTGATTTTAATATTTAAGAAAAATGCCACTAAGTATAACCAGGCTTTGTCCTTATTTGTGTTTTACTACTTTTTTATAAGACCAGGGATTGCACTTAACCATTTCCTTACCGGGTTACACAGAACCACTTTGCATCAAGAGCCTTAAGAGACTCTGCTAAAAAGAAATTAGCAGAAGGTTAAATATAACCCTGAGCAGGAATCCTTCTTGTTTGTTCTCCTTCCCATCACATAGCCCTGACGTTTTCCATCACTGAGAGGTCAGTATGGTCAGAGAGATCATGTGTGATGAGACTTTGTAAGAGAATTTAAAAAAAAAAAAGAGTAAACGCTTGAAATTGGTTGCTTCCTGGCGTCATGTCCTCTTGTGAAAATAGTAAGCCATGTTAAATTATATCAATGTGCATGAACCAATCTGTCAACAGATTAATCCCAATGTTCCATGGAGCAATCTCTGTAGCAGAACAATTTGGATTTATTTTAAATCATAGCTCACAAAGAAGAAAAATCTATGAGAGCCAGTAATCAGTAAAATCAAGAATGAAATGTGTTATGAATTTCCCAAATGTTTCACTAATGACTAAGTGAAGGGCACAAAATGAACAAAAACTAACAAAGATGAGCATTAGATAAAAATGAGCACAAATTATAATCTGTCTTTGAATACGAAGGTAAATGTATAATGTCAAACTGAAATTTCAGCATCCTATATTTTATGATTTATGGTCTGCTTTTAAGTTGTTATACTTTATATCTATGACCATGATGTTCGCAGGTTACCAACTGTGGACTGCTCAAGGAAATAAGTTGGATTTGAAGAGAAAATCATTAAGTGAGCCCCTTCTCAAATATGTGATTCCGGAAACCAGTCGTCATGGGGGATTACTCAACAAGTCAGATGCCGGCGAGGTTCAACATTAAAGCTGCGCTACATTAGCAATCCAATGAAGAATTTATTTAACTTTTTTTTTCTAAAACAACTGTCCTGTTTTCACATTCAGCTTTAAAAACCAGAAATGTATTAATTCGCCTGAATGTAGTGAATTTATATTCAAAGAAAATTCACTCACAACAAATCAACAAATTCGAAGCGGTCTTAATTTCTAAATGAGCAACAGTAGATTATGAACTACTATGAAATTTGGGTGGAGTGACTACAGGGACACAGGAGAGGATTCAATATGGGACATTTGGGTGTATGGACTTGAAATCAAGACTTGTTTTCTGTCCCATTTCAGAGGAGCATTAGCAGGTGGCACTTTGCATTTCAGTTAAACATCTTCATCATAACAACCCAGCAAGATCAGAGACGCAATCCCAGTCCAGCTCTCAGAGGTTCTTCGAGGACTCACAAATGAACGAAATAGCTAAATTCTGAAAATAAATGACATAGATTGATCTTTTTTTTGGGGGGAGGGGAAACAGAATGTACCCAATATTCAATAAAAATCAAACAACATATGGGTCATGTTTGTGTGAGTCACATCCCTGGTTGAGCACCTCAGGACGTTCAGGACTGTTTGCAGGGGATAATTGGATTTGGTCAGGTCTTGTGGACTTACTGTCCTCAAGGACCCTTCATTTTAATTGTAGGAGCATAGCAAGCCAAAGGGGTCAGAAATGGACCTGGCCAGGGTTTTGGAAAGAGGGTATATATACTAAAGAGGAGGAAGAAGCTGGAGAGAAACATAAAAGTATCTGTGAAAATTATAGTATATTGAGAATCAAAGTACCGTTTTAGCTCCACAACGAGGCCGGACCCTCCGAGCGACCAAAGAAACATCGTTACAGAACATCTACAGATCGAGTTGTGAAAGATACAGGTGAGAATATTTTCATTCTGGTTTATTGTGGCTGAAATCTTTTGGTCAAGCTTATCTGATTTTGGCTTTTAACTCAAATGTCGTTTCATAAAGTAAACTTGAGAGCTTGAGAACGCTGACGGTGTGGCAAAAAAAAAAAAAAGAAGATAAAATGATGAAAATTGTTCAGCAAGTTCGCAGCAAATACTCGTTGGTCAAAATATTACAAATTGCAGTATTATTATATCATATTTTGGGATTACTTTCTAATCTGGAGTTTGTAAGTGGAAAAACAAACAAAAAAAACTTGAACATATAGCTTTAGAGAAAAGAATTTGGTGTTGATTTCTAATTTAATGATCCATTTTGGTTTAGGTGTCAGTGTCATGTCTCGACTGGTTTTGATGCTCGTGCTTCTGATGTGTGTCAGCGCTCAGCTCTCAGATGCTCAGCACTGGTCCCACGGCTGGTATCCTGGAGGAAAACGGGAGCTGGACTCCTTTGGAGCATCAGAGGTTTTTTTTAACAAATATAATGATTTCATCATTCATTGAGACTTCTTAACTTTTCACCCTTTTCACCTCGTGGTCACGCCATCTGTTTTTTTTTTGTTTGTTTGTTTGTTTGTTTTTGTCTTGCTTTTCTTCTTCAGATGTCAGAGGAAATTAAGTTGTGTGAGGCAGGGGAATGCAGTTATCTGAGACCCCAGAGGAGGAATACCCTGAGAAACATTGTTGTAAGTTAACGTAGAGAGACCAGATCGTCAGTGATTTTATTTAAAGATAAACAATATTGCATTTGATTTTATAAAATGTAATTAGTGCCTCAGTAACGTCTTGTTAATTTACTCTCTTCACAGTTAGATGCGTTGGCCAGAGAGCTCCAGAAGAGAAAGTAACAGCTTCCTGTCTCCAGTATGCTTTTCTACCTGGTGACCATGTTCTCTAACCTACAAAGGCAGGTCATTCCTAAGTTATGGAATGACCTGCCTTTGCACTGTCCAGTTTTAAAGCTCGTATTAAAACCCATTTATTTTACTTGGCTTTCAACTCCAGCGAGATCTAGTTTTACATTGTTTGTTGTTTTAAACTGTATTTGTTTTTATCTATTTTATGTACAGCACTTTGTTTCAGCTGTGATTGTTTTAAAGTGATTTATAAATAAAGTTGGTATGGTATGGTATGGTGTCTTTATCTTGGAACAATTCTGTGTAGCTTTGTCTGAAGTGGTTTTTCCCAGTAGCAACTCGAAATAAAGTGTCTATTTTGATACCAGCCTCTTGGCGTGCTCATTTTTAAAGTACTCCAAACTCTGAAAATGTTTAAAAATGAGTGCAAAAAGTAGAGTTTTGCAGGCTGGTAAATGAAAATAAATAAATAATACACTCATTTTAGGAGTCACTTATTTTTTTTTTTTTTTTTTTTTCTTTTTTTTTTGTGGAGATTTTTTTTTCCATGCATCACCATGGATTCTCAACTGGGGTGTGAGCGGGTCTTTCTAACAAATGAGTTTGCTTTCATGTGATTTTTTTTTAAAGGCTGGCTGATCTGAAGTCATCAGCTGGCAGCCTCTAGCTGCTTTTATACGATTGATTTGGATCCGTCCATCTCCCCACTGACTCCAACCATTCTCTCTGCTGAAAATGCAGCCACGGGACTTATAGTTAATCAACTAAAGCAGGAATAGTGTTAGACAGTTTTCAGATTGTTATTTTTAGAACACTTTGAAAAATGCACTGTACTGAAACCAAAACATTGACGTTTTTTGACTGGATATTTAAAAACGGTTTTAAAAAGAAAAACAAAACAAACAAAAAAACGTTAATAAAGGAACGGGCGATTATTACAACTACATGCTTCCAAAAGGGTAATAATGTAAGCATGGGCTCAATATAGTCTGCGGTATGTTAATTATTGTATTTCAATGATTAGATGCTGGAATGATGCTTAAGATAAAATACCTGACAAAAACACAATGAGCCCTGAGTTTTCTGTTGACTCTGGCTCATTTCAACTGCGCATGCTCAAAGCAACATGGGACAAAGATGGAGGCCTCAGCTGTCTGTTCTCTGCAGTCTGCGGAGTCAGACGCTAAAAAACCCACTTCTGGTTCCCTTAGTGTGGCTTCTGTCACAGATTCTGAAACAGTAATAAACACTAAAACTGATAGTACCATGGTTAAAGGTGAGTTGTGTCTGGAATGTGAACATTCAGCCGGCTTATGCCCTTGCTTTCCCAGCCAACGTTAGCCTCCCCGGCGAGCTGGCTAGCATTCGAGCTAGTTAGCTCCTTTTTGCTAAAGAGGCTAACGTCTGCTGCAGGGAAGATTCAGTTTTAACGAGGCCTGTTGTGAGGGTGTTTCAAGGCGTTTCCCAATTAAATGACTTAAGTTATTCATATTTTTCTTTTTCATTTCACGGATGGATTCTGGAAGTGGCTAATATCTTGTTTTAATTCACTAAAGTTAACTTAATAACCCAGGTAAACTCTATTGTGAAAGTGCATCAGCTGGTTTTCTGTGAATTTTCTGTGGAGGCCAGAAAGTTGCTGTAGGTATGACAACAGGAGAAAAACAAACAAACTCTAATCAGGATCTTATTTGAAAGTGTTTATATTCAAACGCTCTACACAGAATGCTCTTTCAATTGTATTTTTTATTTTTAAGTTAAGTGACTTGTGCCTCTCCTCCAGCAATATCAAAGCAGTCTTCTGAAATTACTTTATGCTGTTGTACTAAGGTCAGTATACTTCAATGGGACTTCAAATGGCCTTCAATTGGCATGTTAATCAGGCTATCTGCTCACAGGTGGTTTGTTGTTTTTTAAAAGTTTACGTTTTTAAGAGATATCAGTGCTACTCTATGTATATTACTAGAAAATAATCCAAAAAGCCACCTCTGTCTTTTCTGAAAAAGCAGAAGTGTAGGAAGTGCACAATTCCAGACGACTGGTGATCTGCAGCAACAGATGAGGGAGGGGGAACAGCATTGCTATGTTGTAGAAACAACACGGCAGACAGTCTTTGTGGGTTTGATTTATTTGTTTTCAATCTTGTTGATCCTTGACACCAGCCCATAACTACTTGATTAACTGCTGACGTTATGAGCGGTTTTGCTTTTGACCGTTTACCTGAAAAGTTCACCATTACAGCCTCAGTGACACGGTGTTCATCTCGGCCGCAGTATGTATTCGTTTTGTTCGATAGGCCATACAGCATATCATGTAGTCTATCAAATTTTAAGTAATTTTCAATATTTTTGGACAGTTGTTTTAAAATAGTCCTTTATGAAAGACCGGAAAAGTAATCATGAATTTGACAATTTGTTGCACAGTAATAGTGACACCAAACACCATGTTTTATGCAACAAAAGCCATTTATTTTTAAATGAGGCACAAAAATATATATTCTTTTGACCATCCTCATTATTGATTGGAGTTAGTTTCATGCGTGGTAAATCGAATATTTCAGTGATCTTAATGATCTGATAATTGTTGGATTTATTACTGAGTGGGAACAAGTCAGAAATTCAGACATCCTTGTCAATAAATTATTAGTTATTTTCTTCAGTGTACAGTACAATCACACAACTTATTGTAAGTAATCTTAATAGGTAAGTTTTGAATTTAAAGCGGTATTTGTATTTAGGGATAGGTTTGCAGTCCAGATTTATGGATTTGTATTATAAATCACGTACAGTAATTCATACAAATAAACCATCTTTTTGAAGTATTTAGAGAACAATTCAATATAACCAACCTGAAACAACACTTTGGCAAGAATACTAGTAAATGTAACATTAACATCAATGTAGAAATATTATTTAAAATTTTCAAAGGAGAAAATATTTTAAAGGATTTTATGTGAAATTTATGGTGAGATGAAATCGATCAGATGCCAGAGAAACAGGTGGATTCTGACAGAGTTAATTTAATCCGTCATCATAATATTCTTAAACTTTCTTTTCTATGAAATATCTGAGAGGAGCATGGCATAACTTCAGAAAAAAACATTTCATAATGTTTTTTTTATGAAAAACATGCTTGAGTTTTTTGGGCATCATGATTAATTGTATTTAATTTGTTTTTGTCATGTAGAACAAAAGAGTGACAAAGAGCTGCTAGAGGGACTTCTCACTGACTATTATTGCTACATTTGCTCTTCTAACCTGATGTTTGAATCTAATCGGGTGGCCCATTATGAGGTGAGCAGCGATGTCCAAGTCATAGTTGTGGATTTCTGGCCTGATTGTGCTGTTGTGACCGATCATGTGACTGTCTTTGGTAATGTCTGCTATGTACCTCAACTGCAGGGAAAACAACACTCTCAGAAAGTCAAAACCTATCTGAATGCCATGAGAGCAGATCTGAGCAGCGGTTGCCAGGTTGGTACCTATTCTGTTTTTTTTTTTATTGTACCCTGAGGTGTCAAAGTAAGGAGGATTTACATGAAACTTGTTTCCATGCACAGTTGCATGCAAAAGTGTTGATACTCCTTGATGTTTTTTTCTGCCTCATGGCTGTTGGCTTTTTGCAGCAGAACATGTCCCGCAATAAAAACAGTTTCTGTGAGCTGTGCTATGTGGTGTTCAGTTCACAAGTAGTCGCAAAGTCGCACTACGAAGGCAAACTCCATGCGAAAAACCTGCGTAAACGAAGACTTCTTGAATCAGGCAAGTTCTGTTTGTTTGATTAAAAAGGAATCTGTTGAGGTTACTTCCATATGCACTGCCAACGAATATTGTTCATAGTCGTCGTGTTCTCAGAAATGTTGAGAAATTAACCTGAACTTTGTTTCCAACCGAACTCCCAGTCAAGGACACAGCAGTGCATAATTCACCAGCTGTCACCCAGGATCCCGTTAACTCCGACCAGAACTCGTCCCAGGAGGACGACCTGGAGTTTTACTCCGAGCCAACTTCAAACACCCCACCTTTCTCGAACACCGGGGTTGATCTCGAAGACCCCAACAAGTACTGCGCCCTGTGTGTCGCTTCTTTTAACAACCCTCTGATGGCCTCGCAGCACTACAACGGACGCAAACACCAGAAAAAAATGGCCAGACAGAAGCTCCTCAAAGCACAGGAAAATGATGCACAGCAAGGTATTGCAAGACAATGAATTTATGTCACAGTACATAACAGCTAAAAGATTCTTATTTACACCCTCCGTGAATTAGATTTCTCCTGTTTGAGGTGGCAGGTTGAAGTGAACCGTCTTCTATCTTGTCTTAATGCGTTTACACTACTTGGTGATATTCTCGTGATACATGCCATTTGTTTTGTCTCCAGGGAACTCTTTTATGTGCCAAATGTGCGGCGTCTCAACCAACTCCCTAAAGATGTACGAGGCTCACATGCAGGGAAACAAACACCAGATCAGGTGAGATCAGGACTTTCTTTTGTCCAATTCAGTTCAATTCAGTTTATCTATGTAGCATAAATTCACAACAAATATTGTCTGAGTTAGATCCAAAGTCGACTAGTTATTAAGCAATTCAGTCAATGGTAGTTTATTACTAAAATTGGTAAAATAAAAATAAAAAGTGTTCTATCTTATGAAAACCATCAGATAGCATGGAATCACTGACAGTGATGCAGCGTTCACTTATGTCAGATGAAGATGTAGCGAAAGTGAATTGCGTTGATCAACTGAAATTACCGTCAAATTTTGGTTTTTCACATCACATTTGAAAAAGTGAATTTGTGGACGAAGCCAAGAGGTATTCACATCTCTGAATACCTCAAAGAACTGTGTGGAAAGTAAAATCCAGCAAGAGAAAAAAAATCGGGGGTTTTATTTGATTGGTGCTGATTTAGTCAGAATGCTAGGTAAGTTGCTAACTTGTAAGCCACTGCAGATCTTTATGTTGACTCGACCTGAGCCCATCTCATACGCCCCGCTACCTTCTCCAATAGTTTGTTTGGATTTTCAAAAGCCATATAAACTACTCCTTTTTGCCTGCTTAATGTTGGGTGCTTTGATAAACTGAATAAAATGAACATTATATATTGAATATATAGTCACATGAAAGAAAATAAGCCCAACTTTTGTCTGATGTTGGATCAGGGAGAAGAAGTTGAGGATCCTTTTTAAATCCCAGCCAAAAGTCTACAGCACATTCGCTGATGAACTGGCCGATTACATCGAAGTGCAAAAGGTCAGAGGAATCACCCCCAAGACCAGCGAGCTTCTCCCTGAAGAAAACACACAGAGCGACAACAATTATAAAGAAGAAGACGAAGCGCAGCACAAAGATGTAAAACAGTGCGATTTGGCTGCAACGCCTGTTTTCCTGCCTAACTTCCCTCAAATTTCCCTCCCTCCTCCTCAGCCTAATCCTGGGCCGCAGTTTGCTTTCGCTCCAGCTCCATCCTGGGCTCCCATTGGCTGGCCCTACAGCGTTCCTCCTCCTCATCCTCTCCAACCCTTCCCAAGTTGCACACAGTTTATCGGCTGGCCCACTGATACTGGACCGCAAAGAAGACCCTCCACCTCCTCCACGTGCAGCACCTCATCCTCCTCCTCTTCTCACAGCTCAGACGGACGTGAAAGCGATGAATGCAAAAACAGGAATACAGAAAAGAGAAGAACGAAAAGACACAGGGAATATGAGGAGTCTGACGCAGCAGAGGGGAGGACGAAGAGGCAGAGGACGGAGAAGAGTTATGACTCTGAGGACAGGAGACGGGAGGAGTTTGGGGAGTCGGGGGAGGAGAGGAGCGGGAAAAAGCCTAAAGCTCGCCGTAAGCGGACACGGAAACGTAAACCATGTCAGCAGGAGGACTTTGAGGCGCGCCAGGAAGGAACCATGACTGACCGATCACATTCACAGGCCAAAACTAATGCTGAAGGCAGCGAGAGTGGACACAGTAAGCCAGGCAAACCCAGGAAAGAGAAGAAGAAAGCTAAGGAAGTGGTTGACACAAGGACAGAGGAGGAGAAGCTGTGGGACGACTCAATTCTGGGTTGTTAAGACTAATAAATCACACTAATGCTATTACTTTTCTCTGATTATGTTTGTCAAAAATGTCACTTTATAACACCTGAATTGATAATATCAAGCAGAGCAATATAACTTTATTTATGTATTATTAGCAGCAGTTTTAAAAAGGAAATAAGATCACTTCTGAAGGACTAATGTGATGATGTATTGTGCTAGCTGGCTAGCAATAAGTCTGGGTTTTTAAGGAAACGTGTGTCCAGAGTGTTAATAATCATTCATAATCCCTGTCAATTATTGAATAAAGTTTATATTTAATTATAATATGTTTTGCTAACCATGCCATAGTAACCTTGAAACAAATTGCTTTGATTGTGATTTTTTTTCCCCCTCCCTCTAATCTCGAACTGACTGCAGTGCCTTCGGTGTCCTCCGGTTGGAGACATTGAGCTTCAGTGGAGGTTCTGACTGAAGCTTGTGGATGCTGAAAGCTTAGTCATTTGTTTCCTTTCGAGCTTCTCTTGAGTTTTTGCTCAAAGATGCAAAGAGAGAAGGAACGCCGCCATACGTGGCGAGACGTTCAGTGTGCTCGGAGCGTGCGCCGCTGAATATTTTCAAGTCGACCCTGACCTGTTGCGCCGCATAAAATGTGCAAAAGAAGGGGAAGGAACTGGATGCTGAGGCAGTTTTAACGCCGCACTGCACCGCGTGCATCAGCATGTGATGTGGATGTATTTGCACACATGTTTGGGGTCGTGCAGGTGCAAGGGTTCAAATGAGAACAACTCCTCGCAAACCTCAGTTATATGTTCAAAACGGCATGCGACGAGTTCAAATGAGGCAGCTCACACGACTTAAGGCTAGAAGAGGATTGTATCATTTATTGTTGCAATTGAAAATATCTGTTCTTTTTTTAGGCGAAGATAAATCACATGTTCAGAATAGTGCGTCCAGCTGTAATCCACTGGTTTAACATAATTCCTGAAAAATGGGTTTTCAGGATTTATTATACAGATCCAACTCAGCAACAGTTTATTTCAATAATTCAATACGCTGCTGTTTCCATGTTGTCTCTTTGTCTTCTCTTACCACAGTTTTTCCTTGCAGTCAACTTTTCATTCATATTTTAAACGGCGTTCCGAACAACAAGCTTCTTTTTCAGGGAACTTTTGTAACCAAACTCCCTTGTACTGCAGAGCAGAGGTGTTGAACTCATTTTTATTTTGAGCCATTTCAAGGTCATGAAGGGCAGGTTATGCCAATTTTTTATTGATAAAACCCAACAACAAACTTAAAATATTAACAAATGACTGTCTCTGCAGTTCAGTAAGTACTTCTTAAAAGAAAATATTAAAAATGTTTTTCAAATTGTTGTAATTTGGCAGTGCACAGATAAAAAAAAAACCTGCTTTGATTTGACTGATATATTTCACCACTTGTTTTTACGCGTCCCTCTGCAGTCTAGAGGGCCACATAAAAAGCTATGAAGGGCCGGGTTTGGCCCCCAGGCCTCGAGTTTGACACCGTCTTTCCCGTACTTCTTTAAGCGTTTACAAGGTCGATACATTTAAGTATTAAAATTACTTTTTTATCAGTCTCATGCAATGCTTCCATTTTGTCATAATTATCAAAATCAACAGGAATAAATACATGAAATAGGCCTGAGTGTAATGAATATATCAAATATATAGGTTTCACTGTTAAGACTCAGATTGTGGAAGTTAATATCTGTCTCAATGTGAATATTACTGAAAATGCTCTTCTTTCTGTGATTCACAAGCAGGAACTTGTATCGACTCACAAGGTGATGCATTTCAATTTATGTACATTCATTTTGATAATTACTGCTTACAGCTGATGGAAACTAAAGATTTTGCTGTTTTAATGTTGATTATGCAGTAATAATACGATACTGTGTATAGTATTATTGCATCGGAGTGAGTCGTTCTCAAGAGATAAATTTAAAGTAGGAATTCACACAACTCAGCTTCCCTGTGCTTTCACTTATTAAAAAGATACAAAAAATATAAACTTCGCTTAAGACAAATTCTAAAAGTTTTCATCAGTAAAACTCTTTCAAATCCAAAGTTCAAATGAATGTTCTCTATTGTGAGTACCGCTGAAAGCTATTGGTGCAAACACACTAAAATGTGTGAATAAAGTGACTTGGAGACTTTGCAGAACCAGAAATGGCGTAAAACTCAACTGCACGGAGTAGAAAAGTGAATGTGGAGGTTCAGCTCCGTCGTCTGCTACTCAAAAGCGTCGCGGCGGAGACCAACAAAGACTTCAGAGCTCCACGGCGCGTCGAGTGCAGCTCTGAAGCCCCCTGAGAACTCCTGTTTTCAAAGAATCCTGTGGTCTCGTTCCCTGTCTTGCTCTGAACTTCGACCCCCGTAGAGCTGTAAGCTGCCCACATCCTCTCACTTTAAGACCCCCGCCAGGCCGCCCCAACAACACAAGCACTACTTAGTTTAAAGGATCACACGGTTTATTGACAGAAAATGATGTTCTGTGAATAGACTTGAAATCTAATCTAAATGGTGCTAAAGTCCAGTAATTCAATTCAATAAAGTTTCCCAAAGCTAGTCGCTTTGGGAAACTTTACGGGGGGGAAAAAAAAAAGAAACGTCAGTTCAGTCACACATCAACTGATGCTCGTTATTAAACAGTGTTTCAAGTTCGGTTCATTTTCCAAATTACAGAGCAGGTACACAAAAGAGATGCAGCATGTAGGAGTTACTTTCTCTGTCAATGAAAAGTAAAAAGATAGTAGAGCAGTAAGATCAGAGCGTAGCATTGTCTCTCCCCTCCAGGAAGTGATCACGACCAAACAGTGTGCCAGATTATTTGTCCCAAATCGATTTCCCCTCAGCAGTATCAATGAATTGTCCAGATTCAGTTTTTACCAAAATGTCTGCAGTAAATTATGTTGATTGAACTTCCAGTCTTGTCAGATCCTGACCTGAAATAGGAAGTCCAAGGATCCTGTTTGTTTTTTTTCTCACTATACATAACCTGATAAAGAAATTGGAAAACATTTCAAGCTGAAATGATGTTACCAGGATTCACACTTAACCCCAGTAGCATTTTGGGCAGAGGGTTAATTTCTAATCACTGAAGAATAGACTGCTGGTAGATTTATATTTGTCAGAGGCGGTGGCGGTTCTCATGGAAATGGTGCGCGGCCCTCCGTCCTCCCACCTGAACACACACTCCCCCAACAAAATCCTCAAAATGTAGTAACTCTTTCACTCACCTGTATCAAACTCGAGCCCTGTTTGGAAAGTTGGAAAAGTGAAGAAGTGAAGGTTGTTCTTAATGCCACCCATAACTGATTAGTTTTAGTCTTTGAGCTTCTTCTAATTGTAATTTTATTCAGGTTGACCAGTAAAGTTTTCCTTTTGATGGTTTGGCTGATATGGGCCGAGTGAGCGATCTAAGAATCTCGTTCCATGCATAGGACAACGGGGATGTGGACGAAAGTGTCCCACTGCACCTCTTTAAACGCAAGGACATGCTGCACTGTAAAGCTGCAGTTCTGAGTAAAAACTGAACAAGACATGAGGAGGCTGCTTCACTTTGGTAAAAGGATGAATTATGCGTCTCATGTAGATATTATTCATATAGATCACAAAGAAATGTAGTCAGTGCTGTACAGAGGAACACCTCAGGGTTTCGTATTTGGACACAAATGATGCAGCAGCATCCTGCTTTTAGTACTGAGCTATATAAAGATTATCATCAGTAATAAAACCACACAGGTTGTTATCAGTAAATTCCTCTGCTTTGCTGTTTTTCACCTTTATTATCTTGTTAAATAGGGAATTCAACTAAACTAGAATGTTTTGTCCAGTTAAAGACCTAAAAGCCTCACGTGGATGTGTCACAAAACTGCACGGCGAGACGGCAGTGGAAATACCAGCCGGAGCTCTGATGGTCTGTTTACCAAATTAAAGGGGACATTTATTTGACGTCAGTTTGGTTTTTCACAGCTGATCTCTTTAACGGTAAAAAAAAAAAAAAAAAAAAAACTGAGCTGCGTTTGAAATAGTTTCTTTAAACCAGATGTAAATAGGCCCTACATAATTTACAAACACTGTAACTTTGCCTCAGATGTTAATTATTTTTATTTGCCCAAAACAATGCAAAATTCTTTATATTAAATCATACCAGTTTTCTTAAAGTAAAACTGGGCTGACAAAACTAAAAGCATGCAGTTTTCGTCATGATCCCTTCATGCTTGTTCCACATGGCATTAAGCGAAGAAACACAACAAATAAATGCACAAAGCAACAATTAAAAACTGTTTTATGTTACGATTTTATTCTGATGAGTAATTGATAGATATCCCAGTTCTGTAAGTCGTGGTTCCCTCTCCATTTGGTGCACTGAGCTCCAGAAGCTGCACACAGGCCTCTGCCAGACTCTAGGTCACACACCTGGGTCCAGACCACAGCGCTGCAAGCTGCTGCTCTGCCAATATAGATGTTTTTTTATTTTTTTGTTATTGTTTGATATGCGGTATCATGCCAGCTTTTTGCAGTGATCGCAGCATTGAGACACTCACTGCTTGAAGTGAAAGACAACAACAAAATGTGATTTAACAAAACAATGAGCATCAGGTTTTATCGCAGATTGAAGTCGTTTCATGTGTCAGCGAAAAGCTTAAAGTCTTAAAGTTGTCTTGAAACTGAGTTAAACTCTGAACCAACTAAAGTAAGCACACGTTTAGCGAATACGATTTACATAGTGTAAACTGCGATTACACTGAAAGTGCTGTGTTGGCCCAATCATCCCGGTGTGTGTATCACAGGGCCTCTCAGGGCCCCTCCTGATAGGCCCTGTGTGTGTCACACCGGGGTGGTACCTTTGAAGACAGACTGGCCTGTCAGCGCAGTTCCTCCCATCTTCTCTGACTGACTGACAGGCAGGAACAGAAAGTGTCGGCAGCTGCCTTCATCGACCCCGCTCATCTTTTACACACTTTTGAACACACAGGCCAATCGGCAAAATGTTTTGGCTCGTACTGACAGCGGCTTCGATTTGGATGTTTGGTAAGATCATGACATTTTTTTGTTGGGTATTTTTATTATTATTTTGGATTCCAGGGTTGTACGCACCGTTTCTCCGTAGAAAACTCTGTAGTGTCAACAGCTGTTTGACTTTGCTCTTCTAACTTGTGTTTGTGCTACAATTTATTATGTGATGTTTTTTTTGTTTTTTTTAATGGATTTTATACAAATACATGTATGCAGTAAAGATCTGTGTGTTGTTACTGTTGCACTACTGATGCGTTTACTGCAGGAGGCCTTCATACAGGTCAGCTCCTTTCTTTGAGTGGCATCAAAATAAAAAGTATTTGTATTCTGTATTTGGCAGCGAGTTGGATATTTTCTTAGCTTGCTTGTTTGCTTTCTTGAATTTGTGCTTTCTATAATAGAAAATCATCACTCAACAACAAGCAACCTTTAACTCGTCATCCGCTTATCTTTACATTTCATTACATAATAGGAACAATTTAAACTGAAATATGTGAAAATAAAAACAAATGTAAGAAGCAAAGCACAAAATGCTTCCTGGCTTATTGTGGATTTAGATTAAGTAGATCTTCGGATGGAGGCCTCTCGCTCAAAGATTTTACACGTTCTACATTTCCATGTCCAATAGCCAACCTCTCCGAGTTTGACATTTTGTTTCAATTGAATTTGCAGTGTTTCCCTAAAGACGCCTGAGTTTGTGGCGTTTACATCATTACTGCATAAATTGTAGGAAAAATAATGACGCTTTACAGCTTTACAGACATCAATCATTGGTTTTAGCAGACGGAGGCCCCGATATGCATTTTTAAACATCTTTTCAGACTTTGTTTTGTCTTGTTTTACTGTTTAGTGAATAAATGAAGTGATATTAACTATTCTGAGCTAGACCTTCTTAGTTGTTGGTGTTTGACTTTCTTTACTATAACCTCCAACTTTATGTTTTCGCTCTCTAGGTGCGTGCAAGGACCTGCAGCAAGTTGCTTACCCTGCGATCGGCAGCATTGAGAGTATTGAATGTGACTGTGGTAAACTCAACTGCGACGCTGTCTACTGGTTCCGAACTGTTCCCAGTGAGAGCAAAGCAGAGTTTATTGGCAAATGCAACAACGCTGACCGTGTTAACCTTGGGCCTTTGTACAAGGCAGACGAACGTCGCTTCAAGTTAAGCAAGAGGGGCAGCTCGGCCTTTGTCCTGCGCATCATCAACGTGACTAAATCGGACGCAGGGATTTACTCGTGCGTCGTAACGCACTCTAAAAGTATGACGTTTAATCCTGGGGTTGTTCTTCGGCCAGGAGGTCAGTATGCTGAAGTTCTTTGTTTTGCTTCAGTAAGTCTCGGGTGTTTATTAAAGCGTGTTGAGAAAAGTTTTAATGTAATCTCTGTCAGATTTTTATAGGCACAAGGGGAGTAGGTAAATGGATGGCATCTTTTGCACTGTAAAAACAAAGAGACAAATGAACTCACAAGTGGAAGTAATTGTGTTCCAGGCAATGACGATGCAATCAGTTCAAGAATATCCAAAGAACTTTGGATCAGATTCTCTTTTTTTTTTACAATTCAGCTTCCACCTGCTCTACTATTTGCTAATAACTAGACATAAAAACTACAACCAATCTAAACATGAAGAGTCAATACTCTCCCTTGTTTATTTCTTCCAAGGTCAGAGGATATTCTTCAGCCCTCCTTTTTCTGTTTCCTTTGTTTGGCCATGCTGGACTCACCGACGCTCTCTCGCTGCTTTTCCTGAGAGGCGTAAAGATGCCGTAGACATTCATGGAGGATTTAGCCCATGAAACTTATCACAGATTCTGACTGAACTCCAAAATGTCGATTCCTTGGAACTACAAATGTAAAATAATAATAGGTTTTCTATGTCTTAGATATCAGCTTTGGATGTGACTTATCTATTTGGACATGATTTTTCATCAGCTCATTAATGTCTGCGGATAGAAATGCAAGAAGAAAAAAAAAAAGCTCAGCACGGCAAAAGGAGAGTCTCCCAAAGTGTTCATCATAGAGCAAGAAAACTTTTGGGTCTTTAAGATTTTGGTTAGAGTTATTTATAAAAATAGCAACAGTACTGCACCCTCCACATTCATTGACCGCTTGATAAGATGCGCTAAAAGCTTTTTAAACGCCACACATTAAAAAAAATTATGTTTTTCACCAACGGAGCAAATCTAAGTGTTTTTGGACTGTTTTTTTTAAAGTATGCGTCACTTTTTGAAAGTGTCCAGGAACATTTTTATTAAGAGCTTCTTATCGGGTCAATGGTTCAGGAAGTCGACCCGTTGATGAAATCCCTGCTTCATTTGTCCGAGACAAATGAATGCCTTGCCTTCTGCTGATGAGCAGAGGGTGCCTGCCAGGATGCCCTGGTATTTATGAAGCTGGACTTCATAAATAAAAATAAATATAAATTATATTTATGAAGTCCGGCTATGGACTTCATAGCTGGACTTCATAAAGCCCTTGGCAAGTAGAAAAGACTTAGAAAATCCTTGACTTTCTCTTTTCTGGGGATCTAAACATTTTGTTCTCCGGCTCTCACTTTCTATTATACTCTACTGAAAATTGGAAGGACAAGAGAGCACGACATTCAAATAAGGAAGATGTGTAGGCCTCAACGAAAGTTTCAGGGTGTATTATTTTTGCCTGATCCCTGTGCATAATTTCTAAATCGCAAAACTGCTTGGTCTGCAACGAACATGAACCAAACATGTTATTAGGACGATGCAACCACTCTTGTCTAGCGACTGACCGCTTGTTCTTTAATACGGCGTAAGATACTTCAGGAGGGCAAGAAACTGCAACTACAACAAGTTGTTTGGCTGCCAAAACATCGATGCATCTTTTCAACAAAGTTTCATCTTCTGAGAATAAAATCAAACAATTATTTTGATCTCAAAATTTTGCATCTGCACATCACACGCAATAAAGCAAAGCTGAAATACCTTAAGACTGCTTGGTTTAGCACTTATTATTCCAAATCAAATTATCATCTCGCATGTACGAATTTGGCGCAATAATTCACATAAAATGATCTCTTTTGTTTTCTAACTTTGCATGTATGGTTCTTTTCGGCAGAGACCCGTCCAACTTTGCCTCCAGTCACGAAGCTTAAGCCCAAACCCAAACCCATCTGCCCCTGCTCTTCGAAGAACCAGCCTGAGGGTACGTGAAGTTTTTCAGCGGCTTCGCCAGTCTGACTGTGATGTTGACAGACGATCATCACTCTGTGCTTGGAGGGTGATGATCAAATGTCAGAATGAAGACAATGTAAACGACAGAACATATTGTAGAAGACTGCAGCCAAATCAAGTGTAAAAGACTGACTAAATCCCTATCAGTGTAAATGTAATGCTTGTTTACTCCAGATGGCTGTGACTCCCTGATTCTTTGGCCGCTTGTCGGAGTCGTTTCGGGCTTGGCTGTGGCTCTTTTCTGCACGCTGTATTATTTCAGCAGTAAGTGCTGTTTTACGCAGTTTATTCTGTGGGAAAACATCCGTATCACCAAACATATTAAGTGTCACATCTATTTTTCTTTTTTTTTTTAATCCTTCAAACTTTTTTTGACTGTTTTTCCAATAGGATTGCCCAAGAAATGTCATCACCACTTTGTGAAGTAAGTCCTGGTGTAAAACTGTTGGCTTCTTTCTGTGAAAAATTATTATTATTATTATTTTCAATTCTATCTCCGTCAGCCTTCTGTTAAGATTTATCACCAGAAACTGATGATGTTTACTTTTGTTTTCTGCTGCTAAGGAAGCGGCTGATGAACTGAAGAACTTCATTTCCTGCTTTTACTGAAACTTAAGTAAGTATCCCTTGCATTAGGTAATTTATAATTGTTACGTTTATTTAAAAACTAACAAAGCTTGCTCCTCTGACGGCAGGCGCAGCATTTGAGATCGCTTTACTGCAGCTCGTCATCGTTTGGAGACTGAGCAGCTTGAAGCACCTGAAGATCTTCTTTGCTAAAAGCAATTACCTTTGAAAGGAGAACATGTCCACCGCCGGAGTTAGGATAGTGTTGTATTATATTGTCAAATATTAAGAAATTACTGCTGTATATTTCATAAGCCATGCAGATTCTTTTAGGTAGATTATTTTCATGTGTTTATCATTTAGCCATTTTACCTTGAACTAAAACAGATCACATGTTTAATTTCTCTGTATTATTGTTCCATTTTTGACAGAAAGGCTGTCATTTTTAGTTTAAAAAAAAAAAATCAGCCAGGTATTTTCTCCTTTTCTGTACCGTTTTTGCCTTTTTGTATTTATTTGTTTGCGTCACGTCATTTCAGAAGTGTTGCATGTTCACATCTGGATCCCAGGGATGAAAACACACCTTTTATTTGTAGTTGAAATGAATAAATTTCTGCTTTTCCACCTCATTGCAGAGAAATGAGAGTTTCTGTCATCAGTTCTGGATGAACGGAGGGTAATAATCCGATGCAGCGTTAGGATCTAGAGATAAAGACGTATTCAGTTTCTTGAGGTTCTCAGAAGTCCTCTGCTTCAAAAAAAGGCAAATAAAATTGAGCCGAGTGGCTGTGTGTACCCGTTTGGAAGTGGGCGTTGTACTTCCATTGTCAATATTGTGTTCAGCGGAAGTTGAGTAGGTGAGTGACAGGGTTTGGTTTCTTCTTCTAGTTTTGATCTGTGACTTGCATCATATTCAGTTTCTGTTTTAGCTGCATCCAATATGTGCGTGCTGGAGCTGTGCTGTAAGCGGGGGGGTCTAAGGTCATTTTAAAGCAAAATACGTGTCTGATGCTGCCTCTCTACCTCAAACACACACACACACACACACACACACACACACACACCCCTCGGTCACATGCGTGTTCACACCTGTGTGACTGGGGAATGCAGAGGGCTCGGTGGAGCTGCTGGTGGTGCGGGTCTGGTTGCTGGGGGGGGGGGCTGCCTGCGCGGCCCCTTTTCCTGTGTGCTGAAGACACAGGAGACAAAGAGCCATGCTCACAGGAGATGCTATCGCTCCGCTCAGCTTTGAGCTCCTCATCTCGTCTCTGAAACAAAGCGACCGCAAAGAATACCACACGCAGAACCACAAGCTCTGACAACTTCATAGAGCCTGTAAGAGGAAGACACAAAAGGCTCTTTGGAAATGAAAAACACGTCGATGAAGGTGAGAATGAATAAAACAATGTGGAGGATTTTCACAAGCCATATATATATATATATATATATATATATATATATATATATAAATCATGTTATTTAGACAAAAATTGTTTTTATTTATGCTCTGGTATCATCAGATATTTGGTGATACTTGTGAACAGAGGCAATGTTTTATTTTTTTAGTCAACAGGTTGTGCATGCAGTCAGAGAAATGCAGGAAAACACGGCAACAAGTTGAGTTTGAGAGCAGCTTTATTGAGTGAGTGTAAAAACATCATCCATTTCCAAAACAATATCGTTTAAGAACTTGAAGTGAATCAGGCAGCGATGGAGAGCATGACGACGTCAGTAACCGACACTGAAGCGGTCTCTTTGAACTGGCCATGGCCCAGTTTCCTGTGTCAAGTTACAATCAGGGTTTGAAAAATGTTCCGTCGTGTCGTTCCATTTCATATCAAATGTGTTAAAGTAGCACATCTAAAAGCAACGGTGTTGACCCAAGTGTTTGACCAAAGGTCGAAAACAATGCTGCAAGGCAGCAGTAAAAATCAACAAGAACAATAAGTAGAATAAAACACTGAGCTTTGAATCAAACTGGTCTGAACTCCAATTGAAGGCAAGTTTGACAAAATTTGTTTTCAAGAGGGATTGAAAAAAAAAACTGTACAGACTCTGCAGTTGAAATGTGAAGGTCAGGTTGTTTCAGAGAGCAGCGACAGCAGCAAGATCTCTGCTGCGCTTTAATTTGACCTTTGGCTTCTGGCTAGACGTCAGTGATCTTTTTGGACCGTAAAACAAGAACAGCTGAATGATGAGGTGTCAAACCATTTAAAATTTTAGAAGTAAAATAATCTTAAAATCAATATGAAAATGAACAGGGTGCCGACATAAATCTGCTGAAACTGGGTGATGTGATGATACATCGGTGAATGTTAGAAGGTGGATGGATGGATCTAAAATGGGGAGGAAGGGAAACATGAAAATGATAAAAAAATATATATATATAGATTAATTATTACACACTGTCTATTTATTGCTTCTTTTTTTGTTTTTAGTTCGTGGCCTCTATTTAGGAATCCAGATCCTAGTTTAGGGCGTATCAGTTTTTATTTTGTTAAGAATTAATGTCAAGTTTTGAGCCAGTTTCTGTCCTCCACTGTGTGTTAGACTAGATCAGAAATTTTGGGAATGATGTGTTGGGTCCTCATAAAAACAGAGACAAGAGTTTCCATGAGGTGTCATATAAAGTATGGAAAAAAATTGTTTGTTTTTTTGTTTGTTTTTTTTTCTCTGATTACGACAGACAGCCTCTCCCATACTTGTTACCGTCAGAAATACAAATATTCCACTTTTCTTTAGAAGAACAACAAATTCGACTGAAGTAATATTTTACTGCATGTATTTTGTAATAGTTTTGTTATAATCCTGTTATCAGGAACATTAATATACAAATTACACAACGTAATATAATCCATATTTTCTATTATGTGAGTCACATTAGGAATAGTTGCTGCTTTCTTGTTTTAAACAAACAGACCCAAATCTATTGTGTGTTTTTAGCATGTGCTTTTTGATCCTATATTTTCAAATATCTTCTGATAAATAACTGAAATCAAATGAAAACTTTAAGCTACCAGTACTACTGTACAATTAAAATGCTTTAATTATTTTCTGATTGCAAAATGTTTAGTAATAATCTTGTCATAATCTTGTGCTTTACATTCTTTCTTGGGAAGAACTGTAATGCAAATAAAGTAGTGGAGTAAAACAAAAAGATATGAAAAACAACATGATGTCATGTTGTTTTTTACTCTCTTTGCTTCAATAAGAATGTGCTGGTCTCATCCTTTGCTTCATTTCCTGGAAGAGTGTTTGAGCAAATTCGATTTTCAGATCTTTTTTTTCTTTCATGTCATCTGCATGATTTTACCCAGTAATAATCTCAATCTTTCTTTGAAATTTGTAACTCTGACAGTAACAAACTGATTAACATAAACACTGCAGAGAAAAAAAAACGAGAAATATTCCAGCCACCCGTTTAAAACCTCCAGAATAAATAAAAATCTGCTATAAACGTCACATTTAATGTTCAGTTTGACATCTTAAGACAATCACCGACTTCTTAAAGACAATCATTTTTAAGCCATCTCCCTTCAAACTTTATGTAAGTGATGTCGCTTAGCCTGCTTTTAGCTTTGAATTTCAACAAGCGGTCATCATATGTAATAAAACGTGAAATCTCTGAACGTGTTTGCTTTTTCTTCTTGTCCAAACAGATGCTTTCTGGAAATGATTTGTTCAGTTTCTATGACATTTTAAGATCAAAAATGTTTCCTTTTTGAATCTCTTCTCTGAAAAACCTGACTTCATGAAGGAAGTGAAACAGGCCTAGACATGCTGAAGCCCTAAAGCACATGACGCGTTTATCTTCATAACGTCTCTATCATGTTTTGTATTTACAACCAAATTCCCAGCTTTCTACAATTTCAAGCTTAAAGTTTCAAGTGTCTAAAATGAGAGCATAATTTTGTTCCAAAAACCTACCACAGTCTGAACAATCCTTACAGGAAGTCTCAGTAAGGAGGGAAAAAAAAACAACCAAAACAGACGTGCAGACATTTTGGTGAGTCCAGCTTTCAGTTCTCCTTCTTCCTCCCCGTGATCTGCTGCTTGGTCTCCAGCTGCTCCTCCATTCGCTTCGGCTTCAGTGTGGCACAAACCGGTCCTCTGCCTGCATGTTCGGGGGAGCCGGTGTTCCTTTCTCACCGGCTTCCCCCTGGTCACCCACAACCTCGAAACGCTCACATATGAGAGTTTCGGCTTGGAGACCCCCCCTGCGTGACTAAGACAGGGAAGCCCATGCAGGTGTGCCTCGACGGGTGAGTCACACCTGAAACAGAGATATGGAAAGGTGAGGTGGGCTAATGGGGCGCGTTCTGACTGGGTCTTCCCTCCGACAAGAGAGCATCAACAGAATCCCCTGCTTACTGAAAACGTTGCTAAGACTGAAACCAGACATCTTTCCATCTGGGTTCAATTTGAAATAGATGTTGAAGTGGCTCAATAAAACTGAAGAGCTTCCAGGCTCATCATGAGGCGACGAGCAAATAGCCTTCAACAGCGAGATAATTTAATGGGTCTGTTTTGTTTGCTGTTTCATTCAAGGCCTTGATCTCCTCCCACCAGTGGAACAGAAATCACCCACAGGTGAGAAAAGATGTCAGAACTCGTTGCCTGTTACAAAGTCGGCGCTTTTATTTTCCATCACAGCACAGGAAATGTGACGGGCTTCGAGTTGCGCCGTGGCAGCCATGTCTCCCCTCGCTGAACAGTTTCACTTCCCCACAAACTGTTAGACCAGCTTCTTGTAGGAACCAGTGGGAAATAATCGGCGGCACGCAAGAGGCCTCTCCCGAACTTCTGAGCGTGTTCGTTTTGACCCGTTGCCGTTCACACGTGCACGACGCACTTTTCAGACTTTCTTTTTTCAAAACTCATATTTTCAAAGCATCCGCGCAACTTTATGTTGATCTGCTGCAAATGTTCCCATTAATACCCAGTGAATTCTGCAATTTGAAAAAATGATCAAAAATGAGTTTGAGTACTTTTGCAAATTATTGTATGAAGAGCTCTTGTGGCATAAAACTTTGGACACTAGTGGTCCAAACATGCATCTAGTTTTGAGGGGGATTTTTTTCTGAAAACAATTCCTGAAAATTAATTATTTTTTTAGAAAAACTGAATGGATTTTATCTTGAGTTTTAATTTTATTTTTTTTGTTAAAGGGCACATCTGTACAGCTGCTGCACGTTTAATCACGAGCGTTTCTCAAACTGCTGAATTTGGTTGATTAGACATTTTTTCATTCATGCTGCTTCATATCGCTCGACTCTTACCCCAAAGCCAACAGCATCTCTTAGTCAAGACAGCCACTGTCAGTGAAGGTGGTTTTCATCAAGACTTTTGTGACTCTGAATGCTGTGAAGGTCCAAACACCAGTGAAGTTGTGACGGATCAGAAATGCAGCATGCGATGTTCTTCAGTGTTCTGCAGCACCAATGTGTCATTTCAGTGTTCAAATGTTCAGCAGGAAAGCAGGCCTGACCCACTTGCTGTTGCCATCTAGTGGCTTAAATTATACAATTGCGACGCTTTCTTGAAATAATAAATGATCGCAGTGAACACTTTTTACACGGCTTAATGTGGGCAATGCTGCTTGACTTAGACGCTCGAAATAAATCTGTGCCTTCATTTGAAAACAGAAGACAGCACTGCACAGGTCTGTCTCGGCAAGTTGGAATATAATTGAAAAGTTAACTTGTTTCAGTAAATCAATTAAAAAGTGAAGCTCATATAAGTTTGCTACAGACCAAATATTATATTTAAAGCAGTTGAATGATTGTAGCTTGCAGGTAATAGAAACCCAGGATAAAGTTTCTAAGAAAACAACCAATAAAGAAATATTTGTAACGCTGAGGTTTTATGTTTTATCCTACATAATCACAGAAAAAACTGCAGACACACAAAGGTAATGAATATTCCCAGGGTTTGGCATCCATTCACATCAATATAAAGTTTAGTGGAAGGACTGCTGAGGTGCTTTCAGGTGCGTGACAACCCAGCAAACTTGAATAACCTAAACTTGAAAGGTTTAGGTTATTTTAAGGGGTGAAAAGATTGGAATAAATCCACAGTCTGTTTATGGTCGTTCAGACTGCCATAAACAGAACAGATATGGACAAAATAATTTAATAAAAATCGGCTTTGGATTGTGAACGTAGCCTAACAGCTTTGGACAGCTGATATTCAGTCTATAGAGTTTCAGTCTGAAAAAACTGACCTCATGAAGGAAGTGAAACGGGCCGAGACATGCTGAAGCCCTTAAGCACATCTTCTTAGACATGCTTTAGGGCTTAGCTAATGATTGCTAAGAGCGATCTTTAGCATCATTTATCATTTGGGATGATGTAGGATGCTTCCTTATAACATTTTCTCAGAGGGAAGATAAAATCCTGAAAACTTCCACCAGCTTTACATGAAAACAGGGTGAAACATTTGATTTGGGCAGAAACTGTTTACAGTTATAGTTGCACTTTTTACTCCCCTCTTCCCCAACCCAGCCGCCTTCTTCCAGCCCACACACTTCTGCGTTAGTGTGCCAATAGTGTTTTTGGATCAAAATGTGTCGTTTGATGCTGTCAACCAGGAGGCAGAGGAGCGAAACGCAGATCTGGTGGGCTCCACTTCAAAACGCCGTGCAGACCACGACCGTAGTGCAGGAGGGCTCTGCAAGCGTTCCGCTGCAATGATCCCATTCGACACAAAAGAGAAGAAGGTTACAGCTGGGGCGTGGTTTTCTGATATCTCACTGAACTATCTGCCGTCAGCGTTCAGTAAACACCAAAGAGACGGCTTCGACGGCTATCATTGGCTTGGAAAGGTTAAAAATGGACCAAAAAGTGATGCAAGTTCTGTTGCTTTTATTTCTTTGTCCAAGTAAGTTCAATTTAATCGTATTTTTCTTATGATTTTCATTGTTGCGGGTGTGCATCGAATGACAACAGAAGGAAATGATAACTGTTCTCATTTCACACAATTCAGAAATCAATTCTGCTGTCCACACTAAAACAGTAGAAGAGGGACAGTCGGAGAGGATCAAGTGTACGCTTTCTTCGCCGGGGACGATTGTGTTCTTGTTTAGAGTGGTGGAGGACTCAGGCATGGAGTTCATCGGGTCTTACTCCCCTACTGGTGCAGCTAAAGTAACTGGACCCAACAAGAACCTCGTTGTAGAAAAGTTAAGTAATGACTTTGCTTTAACGGTGAAGAACTTCAACAGGAAAAGTGACAGTGGAATGTACACCTGTGCTACTCTTGTGAAAGGAAATGAGCTCTCATTTGGACAAGTAACTCAACTTCGAGGTGAGCTCCATTTTATTACTACCAACAAATCCCCACCCGATAGCTACGTTTTGTGCAGAGTAACATTTATCAAATTCTGCTCGTTTTTCAGGACCAATTATAGCAACGACAAAACCACAAGTAATCCAGGCTTCCACCGCCAGGCAGATGGCAACGACTACGACTACAACTACGTCCAGCTGTGTTTGTAACAATAAAGCTGCATCAGGTACACAGACCAAACTTTAAGTACAGCACAACATCATCTGCATAGTAGCAAAGCTGCGCAGAGAAACAGGCGGTAAAACCAGCATTTATTTTGTAGGTCCTTCCCTGTTTTGTGCTCCGATCATACTGGGCCCACTGGCCGGAGGCTGTGGCCTTCTTCTTCTGCTGCTCATCGTCACCGCTTTATACTGCAACAGTAAGTCCGGCTGAAGTTTTGCACCCATAATTCATTCAGCTGCAGAGGACATTTCATTTCGTTGTGCAGAAATGAAATAATTAGCGTGTAAGTTTAAATAACCCGTTTTCATTTGAAATGCCTTCTAGAAATGAGGACCCGGAGATGCCCTCACCATTACAAAAGAAAGTGAGTTGCTTCTTTTCCATAATGTAATTTTGTCTTAGAGTATTGAGGATGAAGCACTAAATTTTGTAATTTTTTTCAGTTTTGTTTTCTCAGCCATAAAGATTACTTTGAAGCAGTTGTTCCGTCTTACATTTTAACACAAGCTCATTTGAAAACTAGTTTTCAAAAATGCATTTACTGTGTATAGAAGTTGCTCTTCGTAAGGCAGAATTTTAAAAGTTTATTTGTAATATCTTAGAACAAATGTATGACTGATAGTCAGTTTTTAGAATATTTTAAGTTTGTTTACGAACAGGACTACATGTACAATAAATTAAAAACCGCCTACAAGATCCTTTGGAAAACTGTTTCTCGGTGAAATTGTTGTATTAAATGCTAATTTTATTTTAATGTCTAATTATTCACATTTCCCGTTAGGCCGAGGATGATGGCTCCTGAAAAACTGTCCGATCGGTACGTCTGAAACGGATGAAGTGACTTTGTGTGCAGTTTTTCAAAGTGCAGCTATATTTCCCTCTTTATGTTTGTCAGAAAGAAAAAAATTGTTTTTAACAATAGCTTAAAAAAATCAATAATCTGACAAGTCAGAATAAAAAAAATAAATAATTCTTGTGTATGATAGAAAATATTTAGTGACCAAAGCGGTTCCCTGTTTTGAGTACAGAGAGAGCTTTGGTTGATTATTAATTGTGCCAAACTTATTATTACATGAAGTTTTTAACTGAGGTGCAGATTAACGTCAGAAAACAATGCGCTGATGTGTTTGCATTCATCATTATGTCATGTTACAGTAAATTTGCCCGATCCTAACTGTTGGATCGGGATAAGATTTCTGAAGACGAAAATGAGAATATATATTATTGTTCATATTCCAAACTAACCCTTTTGTAACTGTATATAAGTATTTTTTTTGTCTCATTTTCTTTGCTCACATTTACAGTACTTCGATCTGAATTTCCTCTTCAACGAAGATCAAACTTTACTGTCACACTTTAGCTTCCTGTTTGTGCTTCAAGCTTCTATATAACCACAGTTCGATTGTTCTGCTGAAATATTACATGCTTCTAGGATGTGTGCTTTTCTTTCATTTTCATACATTATTCAGAACAAATAAAAAGAACAAAATCTGAAATTTTAATTTTGCATGTTTTTGGTTGTTTTTTTATGTTTGCATTTTTTTTATCCTCTATAGGTCAGGAAAAACAAGACTTCTCTCTCTTTTTCTTTTTTAATAATTCCAGTCAAAATTTACTCACATGTGTTTTTCTTTTCTTTATTTTATACCATTTTTATACAGACGCAAAACTCTTGAGAATCTGTGAAATTGCAATATTTGAGACAAAGACATTCGCTTTGAAACCCACTGGAGTCGAGTGAAAGCAGCGTTCAGAAAAACCCACATTAGGAGAAGAGAAAGCTTCATTTTAGGAGATTCTGTTCCTTACAGCTTCAATAACACATTTTCGTTCGACCACTTTTGGTTTTTGGTCCTGATTTTTATTTATTCTTCGGCACTAGCATTGTTAAGACGATGAGGCTTTTCACGTTGGCATTAACTTCACGTTTTGGCACAAACGATGCCAAACGTAAATGATTCGAAGGTTCGCATTTTCTTTAATACGATTTATTTGGTTAGAAAAAAAAAAGAAGCAACCCTCTGTAAATTATACAGTGTTTTTCTCAAAAGAGCAAAAAGTCTTTGGCTTTTTTTTTCTTTTTTTTTTTTTACAGCATGTGAACAATAGCACTTCACAAACATTGTAAACGTATTAGTTCACTAAGTACACTTGTGAATGCCAGTTTTTTTTTCTTCTTTCATAATAAGAAACGTACTAAAAGACCCTTCTCTAAACAGACATTTCCTTGCAGAAACAGAAGAAGAATTTGCAAAAAGCTCCGAGATACAGAAATAAGCTCCTGGAAGTCCTCCACATAATTAGACATGTAAACGACGCACTGGTTAAAACACACACGCGCACACACACACACACAGAGCTGTACACTAGTGTTCTCCATAGCATCCAAACACAACTTGATAGACAACTTGGCTTTTTCCGTGTACATCAAGATTGCACGTACATCCCAACACAAAGCACTCGCCCCGCAGCGCTCCCACACAACCTACACTTACGCAAGTGTTGCGTCACGATGTTCAGGTGCCACGCCAGCTGAGATGCAGGACTTTAAGGTTAAAGGTTTCTTGCGTTTGTTTCCAAACAGTTTCTTCATTCTCTCTTGGTCTCGTCTCTCTCGTTCCTTCGACCCATTTTGATGTGAAAAGTCTTTTCGGTTCCAACCCCCCACGTCAAAGACAGAAACCAAAAAGGTTTTTTGACGTCTTTGAACGGAAAACTTAGAAATAAGTCGGTGCTCGCAGATATGCTTGTGTGTGGGGCTTTTTTTTTTTCTTTTTTTTTTTTTTTTAGCGTTTTAGGCTGTGTCTAAGTCTGTCGGTCAACTACTATACATTCCTGATGAGCTAGAAAAATAAAATCGATATCCAAAAAGCAGCTCCCTCACTGATGTGTCCCTGTGGTCTGGCGGAGGAATTGCACTCACAACCTGCAGAAGGATGAAACAGGCGGTCAGCACGTGTTGGTCGTCAGGTCAGACCGTCTGCTTTGTGACAGATGGGAGCGCATCTCACCAGGCGAACTAGCTCTTGCCTCCCTTTGTCGCAGACGTGGGCACGACGTCCGAGCTCAGCTGAGCCGAGAGCACGTCAGCGGCAGGTTGGGTCTCCTGTTTCTGCAAGGAAGTTATTGTGAAACCGTGAAAAACAAAAGAAAGAAAAAGGAGGGAACACTTTTGGCACGCAGAAACTTTACAAACACTCTGGTTCCCGAAGACTTTGCTCGACAACCCGCTTTCAGCTCCAGAAAGCTCACACATCGCTTATCGCTTGCACCTGCCGCCTGCTCTGTCCTCACGTCTCATGCACTGAGCGAATAAGCGCCGCTGTCGGCATCCAGGCACAAACATGCAGTACGGTGCGGCAGATGTGCCGAATCGGCACACCTGCTGCTGCAAATATTTGACTTCAGATCGCCGTCATCCAGGCGCAAACAAAAAGTGAGATTGCAGCTGCAAATGAAGCACTAATTCTATTATGAAGAAAAGATGCTCAGAAGGCCACTTTTAAGTCAACGGGAAATAAAAACGCTTTGAATTCTCGGCTTCATAATGGCAATGCTGCTGGCAAGAGTCACCTCTTTTTACTATAAGAGAAATATTTACTAAAGTTTAAAAAATTCCAGGTTGTGGAATGATCACATTTGCTCTTAGCGTACCCTCCAAAAGCACAAAGAAAGAAAAGAAAAAAACATTTTTGGTGACGTCACTGCAAGCAGCCTGCATGTGATATTTTTGGTCGTCTTGTTTCTTTCTTTTGTTTTCAGGTGGAAGGAGCCGTGCAGAAGCGTGCTCTTATGCCCTTGAACTACCTTCAGCTTTCAGGAGACGCTACAGTTCATCCCAGAGGCGTGTTGCAAAAGTCGGATGCTTTCTGCCCTGGCTTGTGGGAGCTTTGTGATTTAAACATGTGCGAATCTAAAATGCTTTGGTTGAATGAGGCCAGAGTGTGAAAAGTCGAGCCTTCAACCCGGGCTCCATGCTCTAGACATGTAGCTTACTTTAGACTTTGACTTTGACTTGCTCTTGCCCTGCAACAAAGTTGACAGACTTGTTATGTTTGCACTGCTCCTAGTGGTCGTGATGCAGCAACTGCCAGTGAGTTTTCTCCAATGAATAACGTCAAATTAAATCTGGTCACCCTCCACTGGTAGTTTTTGAAAGCGTTTGGTATCATTTCTAAACGGCGTTGTGTTTGATATTAATGGCCACATTTCAGTTTTACCTTCGGCTTTTCTGTTTTGGATTTGGCCTTCAGGGCGTCGGGGGACAGTGTCTCAGCCAGGGAGTCCAGGACAGGAGCAGCCATCGGCTAAAAACATGAGGGGAAAAAAAAAAAAAACTCGAATTTAGTAACAAGCTTTAATTTAGACAAACACAAGATTTGATGAAATTTACAGAAAACACGATCTAACAAAGTCTACAGAAAGTGTAGGCCATTAGAAAAAAAAGTTCCTGTGACCTTCTGTGGTTTTGCGTCCAGCACAGGAGGCTCCAGTTTTGTTGTGGCTGTGTTGACCGGAGCAGAGGCCTGGGGAGGCGCAGAGAAATCCCCGGACAGCAGGTCCAAGGCGGTTTGGTCATCCATAGACTTCTGCAGGGTAGAAGAGGAAAAAAAAAAAGAGAGCAGGGAGTAAAAAGTCTTTCTGCGTTCATCAACACGTGATGATTACTATTCTGTTATCAATATATTGTATTATTGAAAAATGTGTACCTGCTTGGGTTTTGCCGCAGCTTTGTCCATTGGTCGTTTCTTTAAAACAAACAAGACGCACATTAGATTCAAAGTGAACAAAATTGTCCCACCTGACTCTGGTTTTCACCTAACAGTGCTTGGAAATAGTTTTTTTCACCTTAGTGTTCTGTGTTGTGTTATATAACAATACTCGTAAACATTGGCAAAAATCTAACATTCTCAATTAGTTACATGGAGGGAGTAATGTAAATAAAGCTGACATGACTTATTAATACAACATCACGCATTTATCTTCACAAAACCTCACTTTAAAGAAATATAAAATAAATAAAAACAACCCCTATGATTGTGTCTTTACCGTGTTAACTTAAAACAATGCATCACTGAGCTGCAGTTTCAATCATTTTACCTCCAGGTCCTCCTTAGTTGGCCGAAACTCCGGAGGCAGAGTGTCGTCTCTTTCTCCCATCTTGATCAACTTCTCTTCGACGATCTTGTTCTCCTGCGACGACAGAGCGGCCACAGGTCAAAGAAGGCGACGCGACACGGTGACCCTGTCGTCTCAGAGTTTAAGGACTCGCCGGAGGACTTACCTTGACGACGTCCTTGGCGGGAACGGGGGCAGGCTGCGGAGCGGGGGCGATGTCCTTTAGCGTGTCGGACAGAGTGTCGAGGGCGTTGTCCGCTTCTGCCGGCAACTGAATCCACGAGAGGAAGGAAGGAAACAAAAAGTTTGATTTCTAATTTCTGGATGTTGCGAGATCTAAAACAGGTTTGGCTCGCGGTGGATCTTTACCGGTATGTCGGCATCCGCTGCAGCGCAAGGCGCAGATTTTACAGACGGAGCTGCAGAGGAGGCAACGAAATCCCCCGCCAAGGCATCCAGGGCGGCGTCAGACGACTGAGAACGACGGAGCGACACAGCGTTTAGTAAGGAGAGTCAATTTTTGAGTGAAGCAGTTGTGATTACACTGCGCTGTTGCGTACCTGTGCAGGAGGGGCTGATGGGAGGCCGACAGGAGCCTGGCTGACAGGAGCTACAGAGGAGGATGTGAAATCTCCTGACAAAATGTCCAGAGCCTCTCCGGTTCCCATGGTGGGCTGCTGGAAAAAAACAGAAAAAAGAAAAACTTAAGAAACATTCTAAACCCAGGTTAATAACAACAAACCTACACCCGATCTGGTCTCACCTCCGGTTTGGGAGCAGGCAGTTTCTCAAGTTCTTCCTTGTTAAACCTGTATTCTGGAGGCAGTGTGTCGTCTCTCTCACCCACAAACACGCCCTCCTCTTTCTTGATTTTGCCCACCTGCGAGAAGAAGAACGCAAAAGGAATTATTTAATTTATTAAACACACCTAAAAGAAAAAAACATACATATCTGCGTGCTCTTTTACCGAGACGATGTCTTCAGGTCGGGGTTTGGGGGCTTCGGGTTTTGGCTTGTCCTCTGGAAGTGTGTCGCTAAGAGCGCTGAGCGCATCCAGAGAGATGGAGTCCGCCTGAAGAGGAAGGAAAGAGAGAGGAAGTTACACCTCCAAACTGTAATTGGTAAAAAAGCAGAAGAAACAAACAAATGGTTTGTTCAGCCAGCGTTACCTTTGGTAGCTCTGGTTTCTTCTGGACAGCTTGGGGTTGTTGCTTCATGGGACAAACAGTCTTCTGCAAAAACACACAAAAGACGCACACTGCAGCGCATATCTACTGGAGAACTTTGAAAGATTTTAGAAGAACGTTATAATTGAAAACTATATTGTTTGTTGGTATAATCTTTGAAAGGAGACGCCATGTCTGAAAGATGAAGACCACAACTG